TCAGCAGGACAAAACCAAAACATCCAAGTTTGAAGGGAGTTCTGGCCAGCAACTAAAAGGTGAAAAGAAATGTGTGACTGTGTGGAATACATCCTGTTCATTTTCTACTCACTTTTTGATGTGACTTCAGAGGACCCTCCTTTTTCCATAACCAGGACACTCATTTCAAGCTTTCTGCTGTCCTTCTGATCTGGGAGGGCTTGTTTGGCATTGTTGTTTTCACTGCAGAAAACCAGCCATAGCTGCCTTGGCTTCATGCTAAGTAATGACTTACAAAAATCAGTCATTTTAGCAGACATTCAGAGTAGATAACAATCCTAGTCATTCCAAGCGGAATGTCTGTTCGAGTGCTGTTTGGACCCTAATGTCAGTGGAAGATGACAGGGTATGACTTCATATGTAAACAAAGATGTTTCAATCTACCAGGGGATAGTACTTCCTTTATGGATGTGCTGGCCATTTGCACCAATATCCCATTTAATGACCTGAGCAGAGAACAAAGCATTCACTGAGCTAATGTCCAGAACAGTGAGAAGGACATAGGCCACGACTGGACGTCATTTAGAGCTGCTCAGCATCAGTGCAGCTTTAGTAAAGCAGCTTCTCCCTTGCCTTGGTCTCAGCACAGATCTGAGCCCAAAGGTGACTTTACTAGAACTCTGTAAAAAATGTGTTTTCTATCCTGTGGACAAAAGAGGCTTTTCAGAGGTTGGTTTTAGGGCTATGGAACAGAAAAAATAGATTTCCAACTAAAAGGAAAGTGGGTCTGACTGTGACACCATCTGGAATCCAGAACATCTGCGTTGGAGGGTCAGTTACGATGAAGTCATGACACTCACATAATTTCTGACCAGTGCCCCAGACCGCAGCCCTGTATCCCACCCACAGCCACCTTCTGGGGGCTTCTGGAAGATGCGCTTTCATTGCAATCGCTGAACAAAGCAACTTGTGTACGCATCAGGGTTATTTGGTCTTCTACTTTATTTGTATTAACAAGTTCATTCCTTACATATAAGGTGAGGGAAGGAAACCCCATGTCTGCAGCACAAGACAAAATAAAATTGAGAACAAGTTTCTCTAAAAGCTTTTGTTAACTAAAAAACATTGACTTGTATGACAGTGCATGGAATTTGTTTTTTCAGACTCTGGAGACAATGGACACAGGAAAACCTTTTCTGCAGGCTTATTTCATTGACCTGGAAGGTTGTATAAAAACACTCCGATATTACGCTGGATGGGCTGATAAAATTCAGGGCAGAACTATCCCAGTGGGTAAGTTGCCTCAGACACAGTTTCAGAGCTGGGCTGGGATTGGGGTGGGAGGGCTCTTTTGTTGCTTTTTTAACAGATAAACCTTTTTGGTTTTAAATTCAGACTAATTCTTAAAGAAGAAAAACCCCACACATTATAGGGGAGTTTATTCATTAGGTATCACTGAAATGAATTAAGATTGCAAAGGTTTCTAGGGAGAATTGTATGAAGGCAGCAGAGCTTGTGCTGTCCTCAGTGCCACAGGGATATGGCAGAGGGTTGGTGTGGAATCCACCAGTGCCTCCCACCCCACTGCCGTTCCTGCATCCCTGACAGTTCTGGCTCACAGATGTTTAGAGAGATCGTGTAGTGCTTTTTCTTAACTTTTGTTAAAGAGAAGGTCTGAGATGTTGACTTCTCTCAGGAGCCAAAGGACTGAGCTCTTGGAAGAACCCTGTCAAGTTTTCTGACACTTTATGACACTGAGGTTTTTCAAAATGTTTCCTGGGCTGCAGAGCCAGAGCAGTCACACTGCACTGTTGTGGCAGGGACAAAGAGAACACTTTGGCTCAGCTATATAAGTTCAAATATGGTTTTGGGAAGAACAAGTTAAGACAATGGATGTCCATGTGGCACGATGAGTAATATGGTACATTTTCAAAATTAGCCTGTTTTGTCCCTGCATGCGGGTGATCACTGATGCTGTATGAAGGACAGGCACTGCAGATAAAAATTAGTCAGCAGAGGAATGGCTCTGAAGGGCTGAACTAGTTCAGTCTGTGCAGGCAGCAACGGGAGCGATGTCAGTCATACACACTGAGATCTGTCACCCTCATTCAGAGTAACATGAAGCTTTGCTTGCCGGGACACTGCTTGTTGGTCCTGATGTGAGATCACTTCCAAAAACTAATTAGAAATGTTTGTGTTTTCTGTCAGATCTTCCCAATGAAACTAGGTTTTTGGCAAGAATGAATTTGTAAGGAAGATGTCCTTCCTGCTTTCTCTTTGAAACAGTAATAGCAGTATTTTAAGATGAATGTTATTACTTTACTCCCAGAGTTTCATCTTTTTGTGATTTCTTAGCAGAAGTGCAATTCCTGTTACACTGAATATGATTCCTGTACAAAATGGGTTTAAAAACTCTCCCCTTCAGGGAAACAAGTGATTTCCTTCTTTCAGTGAGAGACAGTCTGAACGAAATTTGTGCTTGCTTTTCAGTGTGGTAGGGAGTTATCCTCCCCCTTAGCCTCAACACAGGGAGATTGCAGAAGGAATTGAGCCCCTGGTTTTAAAAGGCTCGACGTGAGCAGTGTTTGACTTTTGAGCAAATACAAGACCTAATCTCAAACAGATCTTCATCTGCCTAGGGTGTCCCAGTGGCATGAGTTAAGATGAACAGATACAGGGTTCTTTGTCTAATATGGGTTTAGTTCTGTCCC